GAGGCTCCAGGACAAGTTGCTTCTCAGGTCTTGACCAATGTGTGTGGGGGATGACCATATACCTGTCTCTCTGTGTGTACCTGGTCCAGCTCATCTGATGTTGGGACAACTTTGAAACAGGGCGATTGGGAGACTGTTGTGACCTTGAGCACTCTTTTTTTTCTTTGCCTATTTAGTTAACAGCTGCCATTTGTCTTTGCTTGCACCCCTGTGTATGATGTTTGTGTGTTTCTCCATGGAACTCCAGTATGGAAGTAAAAGTGTGAAAAAAGTCACAAACATTCACAGTGTATCGACTTAAAACAGGAAAGCATTAATCAAAAGCCCCATGTTTGTACATCGACCTGTGCATGTGCTCCTCTGTCCACTTGAAAGGTCAATAAACATGATCATATATCTTTTGCAGGGTGGAACAATTATTGGCAGTGCCCGTTGTAAAGCCTTTCGTACTCGGGAAGGCCGCCTAAAAGCTGCTGGTAACTTGGTTCGGCTGGGCATCACCAACCTGTGTGTGATCGGTGGGGACGGAAGCCTCACGGGGGCCAACATCTTCCGAGAGGAGTGGAACGGACTTCTTGAGGAGCTGGCCCAGAATGGTACATTTCCCCTTCAGTTCCTGCTGTTCTCTGGATTTACTGTTTCCCCATTTGTTTTCCTCTTTTTTTTTTTTTTGCTATACTGGGGCTTGAACTCAGGGCTTATACCTTAAGCCACTCCACCAGCCCTTTTTTGTGATAGGTTTTTTCAAGATAGGGTCTCATGAATTGTTTGCCCAGGCTGGCTTTGAACCACGATCCTCCTGATCTCCTAAGTAGCTAGGACTACAGGTGTGAGCCATCGGTGCCTGGCATTTTTTTTTTTAAGTTTTATTTTGTTTATGATTGGCACATAATAAGTACACATGTGTATGGGTCATTTTGCCTGTTAACTGTAGTCAAATAGCAGTAGTGATTGGTGTAGTTCTTACTGTTTGTCATCTCAGGACTTAAATTTGTGACTCAGATAATATCAACAATAATAATAATAAACTCTGCTATGTACCAGGCACCATTTAAATTTTTGCACACGGCGTCCTTTGGAATCGTCATGACAACTGTCTGAGATAAGCTTCTTATTTATGCCCGTTTTACAGGTGAGCAGTCAGAGGGCGTGAGCGTGGCCTGGATCCACACCAGTCCTCAGGTGCCAGTGTTCACACTTTGAGCCAACACACTGGGTCTCTTCAGCCCTGCTGAGCTGCCTTCAAACCTAACTTGCTGTTGGGCTGGGTAGGGATTTGCCTAGCAAGTGTGAAGCACTAGGATTGGCCTCAGCAGAACACCACAAAAATAAAACAAACATGAGTTTGTTTTACAACAAGACTTTCATTTAGGTGATCATGGTCTGCCACCATTATGATACTTAGGAAAGGATTTCTGAGACCTTCTCTATACTGTAGTTTTTGTTACCATAAAATAGGACCAACAAGAGTACGTTGCTCACACTAACAGCAACTTCATGGGAAATGCAAATGAGATAAAGAAAACAGGTGTCCATGTTTTGTGAAGCTCTCCTTAGGGAATGGAGAATAGCAATCAGGTTGATGGCAACAAGGGCCTCACAGCATCTTCTTGCTCACCTTGTTTGGTAGCACAGAATAACAACAGTGACCATGAGTCCAGGGCAAAGCCCACCTTTACCCCTCTGGCCATTCTGATTTCATTTATGTAGTCACCTGAACCAGGTGTGTCTGCCCTGAGTGTTGGGTCCATATCTACCAACTAACTATCTCCTTGTGGATCTGTAAGAAATCTGTATGAAGATGACATGAGGTTCTAAAGTACTTATTCTGAAAGAGTAATACATCTTTACCCTAAACCATGAATTCTTCACAGCCATCGCTCGATGCAGATAATTGCAACATGTAGATCGTTTTCCATTGCATAAAAGTGTGTTCTTCCTAAGTGCCAAATGATAACTTACATTTTGTGTAATTAATTCTGCCTTTGTCTGCCTTTTTTGAAAATTTAAGTATACAGACTCAGGTTTTATGCAGTTCTGAGGAAATAGCAAATAGAAAAAAAGAGTTGGCGTTTGGATGAGGGATTTTGTCGCCCATGACCATTCTGTCTCACAGAATGTGGTGCCCCAAAGGAATTGGTAGCTCTTATTATGAAGTGTGTCGCTTGTTTCCTACGCAGGTGAGATTGACAAAGAGGCCGTGCAGAAGTACGCTCACCTCAACGTGGTGGGCATGGTGGGCTCCATTGACAATGACTTCTGTGGCACAGACATGACCATCGGGACTGACTCAGCTTTGCACAGAATTATTGAAGTCGTTGATGCCATCATGACCACTGCACAGAGGTAAAGACTTAGAGAAATCAGTAGGACATTATTGCTGGCTCTAGAATGTTCTGCAGATGGGTGTCCAGATGCAAGTTTTGTAACTTGAGTATTAGAAACTGGAATAAGAAAATTCTCTGGTGTACTTTTCATTTAAAATTTAAAGTATTGCTGTTTAAATTTTAAAACCTAACTTTTTTTTTTTTTAATGTGCTTATCGGAGAGAAATTTGAAAAGAAAATTATTTAAAAATTCTGACCAAAGGTCTTCTGAAAGGATTGCGGAACATGGTTGAGTTTTGACACAGTGCTTGTTAGAGAGGTGAGGCAGTGTTGTTTCAAGGCTATGATTGCAGGTCACAGATTAACAGTGTATGTATGGACCAGCCCATCCATATTTGATCTGAGGTGATCAACATTGATGACAGAGCATTACTAATAACTTTCTAAGGTGCTCTAGAGTTTTAGAGGCACCTGTCATAAAAACCATGCAAAATAGTACACAGGACAGGCATCTCCTGTTTTATGGAGGTGTAACTTGAGACTTGGAACACTGAAGCAAATACTCTGAGACAGTGGGGCCTCTGAAGTTCCCTTTATGTATGTGTCCCACTCACAACTGTCTTCATCCATGGGTGTCACTTTGGTAGCCACTGAAAACTCACACCTCCGTGGGGTTGGCAGAGTGACTTAGAATGGTTGGATTTTTCCACTGCATGGGAAGACCCTAGCCGTTGTTGGGGCTGATTTATAATAGTCAGACTCATGTGCTTACATGGGATATATCCAGCTGTGGCTCTTGACAGAAGTACTTGACTTTGCCCCATATAGTCATCATCTCAGGAAGAGTGTGGAAAAACCACCTAGAAGCACAAGAGGTCTTAGGGCACAAGCAATAGGTGTTGTAAAATGTATAACTAGAAAATGCAGTTGCTGCTGAAGCCCCTGTACTCCCAGATTCTGAAAAACTACTGCAGTAGCTTTTACTTTTGTAGAAAATGACTCATATTTAGAAGATTTCTGCCATGGTTACAAGGTTAGGTTTTCCCTCTCATGTGGCTGGAACAGACTTTTCTGTTTGCTTTTCATGCCTTTCTCAGTGGGGGTGAGTCAATTTGCCCCTTTTCTCTTTTCCAGCCACCAGAGGACCTTCGTCTTGGAGGTGATGGGGAGACACTGTGGGTAGGTACCTGAGGACGTGATCTGGGTGGAAGGACCCTTAGGGTCATCCCCTCTAGCTCTGGGCACCATGCATTTCAAATGCTTCTGTGGGGGGTTCACAGAGGACTCTCCTGTGTCATATCTGCCTGAGTTTATACCTGAGCTTAGGTGTTATGGTAGCCTTATAGGAAAGTTTCTCCTCGTGCGTTGATCTACCATTCTTTCCATGCAGGTACTTGGCCTTGGTGAGCGCCTTGGCCTGTGGTGCTGACTGGGTGTTCCTTCCGGAGTCTCCACCAGAAGAAGGTTGGGAGGAAAGTATGTGCAACAGACTCTCAGAGGTAATTGGAATTCTGTTGCTATCGACTGCCAGGGATTCTGGCTGTGTTATTTTAATCAGGATCCCTAAGAGCCTTTGGAATTGCCAATTTGTACAGCTTTTTAAACAAGTGAAAAGTTTCTTGTTGTTAAGTGAGGTCAAGCCTCTTGCAGAAGATTTTTCTACATTGGCTGTTCCTGCAGTTTCAGGTAATGCCGTGGAGAAACAGCTAGAATTTTATTTTAAGTTTTTTGGTCAAAGCATTGGTTCCTGCTTTAAGTAAAATCAGTACCATGAGATCATGGCGATGAAAGGAAATCAGAATCAGAGAGAAGAATAAGTGTGCTATTTGATCTTTCCACACCCTTGAGCTCAAGAAGACCTATGTTGGACTCTCGAGTTTTAATTCTTCCCAAAACTCTTGGAGTTCAGGTGTTGTGACTTGTCTTTCTCCAACAGGTTTGTCTATTAACTAGTTATTTTGCATCACACTTTTCCCATTGCATGCTTGTCTTTTGTACTGTGGCTGTTGGTGTGTAGCAGATTTCTCTCTATAAAGGATAACAAATATGAAGAAGTTGCAGTGTGGGGGCTAATTTTCCTTCCCTTATTTTTAAAACAACTGTAACACTGTTCTTCAAGTAAATTGCGTAAACATTAATGGCATAGATCAATTTTAGTTATATTCAGCAGGTGCGTAAGCAATGCCTGTGACAAGGACCTCTTGTGCAAGATGCTGCTTTTGCCTTCTTGTCATAGTCATGAAGAAACAAAAACAAAAGCAAGGCTGGCAGAGTGGCTCAAGTGGTAGGGTGCCTGCCTAGCAAGCATGAGGCCCTGAGTTTAAGCCCCTAGTTCTGCAAAAAAAGAAAAAAAAAAAAAAACCAACCAAATAAACAAAAAAAGCCCACCTACCAAGTAGGCTTGGTGACAAGAAAAACCTATCTAAGAAACAGTTAATTAAAGCTAAACCTTAGCTTTAATCCAAGCTCTGAGCTGAAATACACTAGCGAAGGTGATGATGTCCAAAGTGTTGTCACCATGGAAGGAAAATGTTCCCTGTTACTTGGTCCAGACCCAGGGGACATGGGCAGCATCCTCAGATGCCCAGTTGGGATAGGGTTGCATGTATTTGGTTCCATGAGATGAAAGGTGGCATTTTCTTTTTAACTGTCATTTCTGTGTGGTCCTGAATAACATACAGTTAGTTACCATCACACACAAGATGTAAACTCAGAGGCCTCTACCCTTAAGGAACCACGGCTGGTCCTCTGCCATCCTTCTCCCTAACACATATATATTTAAGTATAAAATTTATAAGACTTTTCTAAAGACATCAGACTTCCTACGCCTAAATCTTGACTCTACCTCTAACAAGGTGACTTTGGGTAAACGACCTCACTTTCCTTCTCTGTGGTATGGGACAATACTGCTACCCATTCAAGGAGCAATCAATAAGCTACAGAAGCAAGGTGGCTGTTTTCCCATTTATGTGTATTGAGGATGCCATTACTTTCAATCTCATCAGAAAATTATATTCCGTGGATGAAGTATGGTTGTGTAGCCCATCCCATATATGGATAATGTCATTACTTCCATTTTTGCTCTTCCAAACAATCCCCAAATCATCACTCTGTGCTCTTATCTTTGTACTCTTAAGAAATAGTTCTGATTGGTAGGTTCTTCAAAGGTAGCACATTTTTTATCTATCAAAAACAAAAGCAAAATATGTGTTTGTGACGCTGATGCCAGCTGAGGTGATCACATTAGAATAACCCTCCTTACCTTCAGGCATGCCTAGGGGCCCATACAGCTCCCTCTGGTAATTTCCATTGAGAATGCATTAAGGCAGAGCATGGAAAGTTTGCTACTCACAGTTCATTTTAGGCTCACATGACCACTGTGAGTGCATGTAAGACAGTGTAGCAATAGTAACTATGGGTGTCCAAACAATGTGAGCTAGCAACCAAGGTGGAGCTGTGGCAACCTCAACCCCTCTGTCTGAGCTCTGTATATGTGTTAGTCAAATATCTGTCACAGTGACAGATATCAAAGATAGTTCAGCTGTAAAGAAAGAAAGGTTTATTTTGGCTCATGGTTTCAGAGGTTTCAGTTCATGATAGGCTGTTCCTGTAGCAGTTCAGCACCTCATGGTGGGAATGAGGAACAGAGGTGGTCTGTTCTCCTCATTGTGGCTGGGAATTGAAGAAAAAGGGAGAGAAGATAGAGGAGTAACTGAAGTTGTAATATCCTCATTAAGGGCACACCTCAATTACCTAATTTCCTCCCTACCTCCCAGTAGTACAGTGGGTGGGGACCAAACCTTCAACACATGAATCTTTGAGGGACTATCACAGTTCTAAACTAAAGCAGTATCCTTTCCAGCTTTCTTGCCTGTGTCCTGCCTGTTTACTTCCTGTGTCAGTTATGCACAATGCTATCTAATCATAATGATGGAGAATCCTTGGCCTCACATATGAGTGGCTTGAGTGGGGTGGTGGCAGGAAGCTCTGGTGTAAAAATGACAGAAAGTATGGGTGGAGGAAGGCACAACTAGGGGAGTCTAACTTGTAATGCTCTCTGTGGTGGGGATCCCCATCAATGAACAGATCAGCACCCTATGCCAGCCTAGGACTTAGTAGGAGTCCAGTTCTCATCTTGGCCAGAGTCAAAAACAGATCAAGAGTATGAGAATTTTAATTTTTTCTTTTCTTAGAACCGTGCCCGAAAAAAAAGGCTGAATATTATCATTGTAGCTGAGGGAGCAATTGACACCCAAAATAGACCTATTACTTCGGAGAAGATCAAGGAGGTAAATGTGTATGACTTCTCACTTTTGCTGTTGCCCACCTGGAAACAGGAGGCATTTGCACAAAGAAAGGACCAGGGGATTAATCTCTCTAGCCCTACTGTTTGTACAGAGGAGTAAACTGAGTCCTAGAGAAGGGTGTTGGGAGCTGCAAGTCGCTGGCTGGCATTCCCTGAGAGAAGGGCAGATTCTCCTGGGTAGTGCTACTCAAATCACAGCATTACACATTTAAGGTGGCTCAAGGGAAATGCTTACATTTCTATATAATAAAAATAATACTTTACATACAAGCCGTTGAAACAGGGTTTTTTTTTTTAAATAGGAAGTCAGTATTATAATCATTTGCTTGTTGAGAGACAAATTTTATTTGATAATAAAAGCATTGCTTTAAAAACTTTTAGCTAGGTATGGTGGTGGCACACACCTGTAATCCTAGTACTTAGGATGCTGAGGCTGGAGGATTGCAAGTTCAAGACCAGCCTGATCAACATAGTGAGTGTGAGGTCAGCCTGTGCTAAACAGGGAGATCATGTCTCAAAACAACATCAACCACTAAAGTAAATTTTAACTGGCTATTCCAGTGGGCATTCCTTTGGGAAGGAAAATGATAATTTGTGTCATTTATGTCTAAAGAAACAATAGCGAACTCTTTGCTTAGGACCAGTGCCTGTTACCAGATCTAAGTTGATAGGCCCACGTGATCATTCTGTGTTTCCTGATGGACATCTTTCCTGCAGTTTGTAGTGTCACAGCTGGGATATGACACCCGAGTGACCATTCTTGGACACGTGCAAAGAGGAGGGACGCCTTCCGCATTTGACAGGATTTTGGTAAGAGAGGATGAGGTACCAGACATTTTCACAAGGTCTCTGGAAAAAGGAATATTTCTGAACATTTAAAGGAACTAATTTATCATGAAGGTTGGTCAGCAGGTTCATTCCTAGCTATTTGTTTTGAAGATCTTTTGAGACTTGCTGACATCGTAATGTCAGCCTGAGTCAGGCAGATGTCAGGAAATCACAGCTGATGTGGGAAGTTAGTGTGTCCACTGATGAGGAGGACATGGATGCCAGGAGAATAAAATCCAGGAGGTGGGAAGGCCGTGCTCTAAGTACACTTTTCCAGAAAGTGTCTCAAGGTGACTGCAGAATTCTTGAGTCTACATTCTCAGTTCTTAGTATTGCCTGCTATCCGTATGGCCCTAACCTTCCCCTCTGCCCCCTTTCTTGCCAGTTCTTACTGGAATTGTAATCTCATGGGCTAGAGGTAAGTAGTAGGGTGGGTGGTAAGCACCTGACAACCAAAGTGGTTGGAAGGATGTACAGTCTTTGTGTTTTTCCAGGCCAGTCGCATGGGGGTGGAGGCAGTCATCGCCCTGCTGGAAGCCACTCCCGAGACCCCTGCCTGCGTTGTGTCACTGAGTGGAAACCATGCTGTGCGCCTGCCCCTGGTGGAATGTGTGCAGATGGTGAGCTTAGGCATGGTGTGGGTGTAGATACTGCCTGACAGCCCAGGTGCTCTGGGCTGTCTGGTCTGTGGCGAATTCCATGAAATGTGGGTACAGTGGCCTTTCTGAGGACAAGACGAGCTTGCCTGTACTCTACGGTTGCCTCCTTCATGTTCTTGCTGTATAGAGTATAAGACCTATGCCATTTTTCTTCCTTGTTTTCTCAGTTGCCATCCTTGGGCCACTTTTAAGTAGTAACTTCCCTTAGAGATGATTTCTGATCTATCAAGACCCAGTCTACTCTGAGGGTCGTTGAGTCTCTATCAACATGGCCTCCGAGCAGCAGATACTATGAGAAGACTAGGTACAGGAAAATGGCCTGTCAGGAATTTCTAGTGTAGTATTCTATAGGGAGAGGATGTGACATACCCAAATTTCTCTAGCTTCAGTCACTTCCTGTCCTTTTGTCCTAAGGACATTCAGATCTGTGACGGAACACTGGAATGGTTTCTAATGGCATTCTGAGATGTACCCAACCCTCTTTGGGCCACAAGAGTGAGTGCCTGCAAATGGATGGAGGAAAACCGACTCAGACTTTTCCAGTCAGTCCTTTAGTAGATGCAGTGGCAGTAGAGTTGCTTTCTATTTTCTATTTTTCCAAAGTTTATTTGTCACTTTATGTGGTCTTTCCAATGATCTGCCATCTCTGCCATTTATAAAATAAAGAGAAGTGGATGAGTAATTTAAATCAAGGAACATGTGTGCTGTTTGTGGTGTATGCATGAGTGTTTGTATGTAGTGATGTGTGTTTGTGAATGCTTGCATGTGTCTGTATACGTATCTATGTCTGAGTGCATATGTCCTTGGGGACAGAAGGACGGGAAGTAACTGGAACTGTGTGAGAGGTGATAGCTGTAAAGGGTCACAGCACTGATCTTTGTGCAGTACTTTTACTTCAAGCCTACCTCTCATGCCTCATAGATAGCACTTGATTTTTTCTTCAAACTACCCTATTGAGGTTTCATCATTAAGAGTCAAAGTGAGCCAATCATTGGGCAGTTTGTCAGATATTTTTCTAAAGATAGTTTCAATAACCATAGACAACACTAGAAGGGTGGATATTTTCTTATCTTTCAGATGAGAACATGAAGTTTCAGGAGATATGTAACTTGCCCAAGATCCTAAAGTTAACTGGGGTTAACTGGGTTGTGTCAGTCCTGAGCCTTTTGTCCTGGGGCAGCCCCAGCCCCCTGCTCCCCTCTGCCTCCTTTGAACTGCATTCATGTCCTGAATCCTCCAGCAAGATAGCAGGTTGTGTTTTGATATTTCCCTACCAGAGTTAAATTGAGTTTTTCAGAACCTTTCCTGAGAGACTCACTCCCCCATCTTTGCCCTTATAGGATGAAATCCTTGCTTTCATGGCCACAAGTAGCAGGTGTCACCAGCTCAGAAACAGCCTAAGCTGGGTGGACCCTGGGGCTCTGTCCTCACAGCTGGACTTTGACAGGCCAGCTGCTAGTCACTGTTAGGAGCAGAGGGTTGGCAGGGATCTAGAACCACTGACTTCAGAGCTGCAAACCAGCCAAAGTCAGATTGTGAGAGGGATTAGCCATGAATGGTCTGAGCCAGTTCCCCTACCCACTCCTCACCCACGGACATACCAAGTCTTCATCCATTGTTTCCTCCATTTTTTTTAAAGACCCAGGATGTACAAAAGGCAATGGATGAAAGAAGATTTAAAGATGCCGTGCAACTCCGAGGGAGGTGAGTTATTTTGAATAAAACACTTTTTACTAGGAAAGATGATCACTAGAATGTGGTTGTGCTTAGTCTATCGCAAGATGAAAATTTCAAAAGAAGTAAGGTAACATGCAAGGTAGTGCTTTTGCTGCAAAGTTGAAGGCCTAGATGACTAGTTAGGTAGAAGTCACTGAGTTTTGTGGCAGCCTAGGTGATGTTTAGAACCTAACAAGGTTAAGGTACAAGACGACAAGTCGTCAGCATTTTGAAAAGAGACTTCAGAGGAGCAAGAGAATGCCATTTTTCCTTAGCCCCATTCCAAAGTAGAAATAGACAGCACCATGGTCCCTGTTGATGGTTCTTGCAGGACATCTAATATTAGGGCCTTTCTCTTCCCCAATAGCCAAAGACAATGGAGCATTTGCAAGATAATATGTTTAGATGAAATTGTTCCATGTGGCCCCTGCCCTGAGTTGAGCTCCTTCCTGTGCCCACTGTTCTCAACTCTGACTTAGCAACGTCCTTTTCTTTAGGAACTTTGAGGGCAACCTGAAAATCTATAAGCGACTTGCCATCAAGCTGCCTGATGATCAGATCCCCAAGGTAGGCAACTAGGTTCCAGTGATACTCCAACCCTCCAACAGCCTGGGAGCCTTCTGCCCTTGTCACCGAAATCCTAGCTCAAGTGTTGGTGCCTGGAAAGTTGTCCTTGACCTCTCCAACTGACCTGTTCATTGTGACTTTTATCTAATGTAGAACATGGACACCTGTCATCTAACTTGTCACAGTATGGACCATTGTAAGATGTGCACCAAATGGGAACTTGTACAAATAATAACCCAGTTCTCCTTCTCCTGTTTTCAGAGCAATTGCAACGTGGCTATCATCAATGTAGGGGCGCCCGCTGCAGGGATGAATGCAGCTGTGCGCTCAGCTGTGAGAGTGGGGATCGCAGATGGCCACAAGGTGTTTGCAGTCTATGACGGCTTTGATGGCTTCGCCAAAGGCCAGGTGAGGTTCTTAGGAGATCCCAGGAATGTGGGGAAGTCATTACCTCAGGCTCCCAACACATAAAATAGAGAATTCTGTGCCATTGTGTCCATAACGATTATTTACTGAAGGGCTACCTTCTACTTTAGACTCTCACCTGACTTAGAGTCCAGGTTTTAAAATTAAGCTCTTGTGTCACATATTTTCCAATTTTCCCAAAAAGGCACTAGAAGATGATGGTCACCTCACATCTTCAGGTTTGGATGAAGTCCTGTAGGCATCTGGCATACATAAGCACTCACTGAAGTAAAATCCTTAGGGTTTACTATGTCCTTTTGTTCTATGGAGTTTACATATATTCACCCATTTACACCTTATGTTAAATTTAATATCATTTAATGAGACAACAGAGGCACAGAGACATTAACTTGATCTAGTTCACATGGGGCAGGATTTGAAATGGGAAGGTGAAGTTGCAAATTCTGTACTCTTAACCAGGTTTCTACTGGTTGATGCTATTTATTCATTCATTCAGCTAATCAACAGATATTTACTTTGCCTAAATTCTTATGCTGTAGAATGAAATGAGTGAGCAAAGCAGACAGTGCCCTGCCTCTGTGGAGTTGATTTTTAGAAAGGGAGATACCAGTAAAAGCAGGTGTAGCAAGCCATTTGAGTTATTGGGTAGTGAGTACTGAAAAGATACACTGGTCCAGGGTGGTAGAGGCGGGGTTCACAGTTACCTCACAAGAGGTGACAGTGGTGCAGTCCCATGTGGAAACCATGAGACAGTGAGAAATCTTGAAGGATCTTCACAAAGGTCCTTGAAGGCAGGAATGATAGGGTTTGGTTAGTAAATATATGCAGGTTTTTAAAAAAGGAGGCAGTAATCGCTCCGTTCTGTCCCAGGCCAGTGGAAGGGCAAGAGTTGCAAGTTATAGAGATGGGAAAGCATGGCAGGTGCTGTCTAACCAAGAAATCTAAGGAGCTCAGGTTTGGAAACCCTAAATTGGAGATGTGGATTAGAGGTCTGAGGGAGCATATCCAGTGTACAGATGGTTCTTGTGGCCTGGAGTCCTTAAGATGTGGATATTGTGGCTTCAGTGTCTAGTATAGCAGTTGGAATTGTAGGTGTAAAGGAGCTTCCTGGAGGGCAAAAGTGGAGGTCAGAGAGAAAGAAGAACCAAGCCCTTAGCACCTTGGGGCTTTGCTGCTAAGAACAGAACTAGATGAGGAGATAGGACGCAGGAGACACAGTGTCAGGGAGGTGGGTTGCAATCATTCAGTTGGCAGCCTTGGGGAACACCCATGAGCCAGTCTCCACGTTCACCCACTGAGGCACAGCACCATGTAAGATTGGGGTCCCTCCATTCGAGTCTCAGAGCACAAGGAGAGGGAACTAGGAACCCTTTCAGCTTGAGAAAATCTTGCTTTACGATTTCTCTTACTCACGATTTCTCTTACTCACTGCTCTTAGCTTTTTGTAAAGAAATACTGCTGCCAAAATTAACATGATCACAACTTTCAACTTTGGGCTCTGTTAGCTACCTAAAAGATGTTGGATCTCATGCACACAATACATATACACACATGTATGCTCTTGGATAATTACCATTTGAGATGAGATTATATTTTTATTTCAAATATAATTTACCTGGAGTTGGTACAGAGCTCTCATCCCAGGTACTCAGGAGGTTCTACCCCTCAAGTGGTAGAGCACTGGCCTAGTAAGTACAAGGTCCTGAGTTCAAACCCAAGTATCACCAATAAATAAATAAATAAATAAAATAATAATTATGTGGAGACCCAACCAGAACATAGTAGAGAGCCTACAACTAGATCACAAGATGAGCTGGCAGACCTGGAATTCTGACCCAGTGTATTCCCTTAATGGCCTATGGCTGTATCCAGCAGAGAATCACCTCTAGATGGTTGTGTTTCATTGCTTAGCCAACCACCTCTGTATTTCTCTCCATTTTCTTTTTTTTCCTATTTTTTTTTTTTTTAAGAAAAGGTTTCTTTTAATCTTTGGTCTGTTTAAAAGCCATAATCCTAAATTTCTTTTCTTTCCCAGTGACAGAATTTGGCCAGCTGAAGTATACACCCAGCACACATGCCTAGGTTAGGGTACAGAGGGGCAGGAGAGCATAGTTTTATTGGGGTTCTTCATTAAGTGTTTAACCTTTAGGGGGTGCACTTCCCATCTTGCCTCATTGATCATTGCTGTGAGAAAACAGTGATAATGCTTCATGGATCTTTATGGGAATTCAGCCTACGGAAGTATAGAAATTTTGAACTGTCTTTAAAGCCTTCTAATTTCCCATTCTCACTAGCTCTGTTTCACTGTGTGTTTGCACCTTAGATCAAAGAAATTGGCTGGGGAGATGTTGGAGGTTGGACTGGCCAAGGAGGGTCCCTTCTCGGGACAAAACGGTAATTTCCAAATCTTTACTCTCTGATATGCACTTAAGGGAGAAGAAAGAGTTATAGTCTAGAATATCCTAGGAGAGAGTAACCAAGTGTAGATTCCTTTTCTAATTTCCTATAAGGACTTCGTGAAGGAAGAAATGATGGGACATGTACCGATGTACCCTCATTGCCCTAGGAACCTAGTCACGTGTTAGGGAGCTGGGCGAAAATCCCAGGACTTGGAGAGAGACAAGAGGACACTTTTCTCCAACAATTCTACCATTAACTGAAAAGCAAAACTGTGTGCAAAAAGCCTCTTTCATTTCAGTCTGAAGATGAGGGATGATCACTGAGCCAGAGTAATTGTGCTAGGTAAATAAGCACTCGAGCACTGCAGACAGAGGTTGGTGTTTGTGCAAACAACAGAGCTAACCTGCTTGGGGACTCAAGGCTCAGCTCCACAACTGAGGGAATGACCTGAGTGTGAAAACGCACTTTTCTGAATTATAGTAAGTGTTAGAGTTGGGACATTTAAACAAGGTGCTGTTGTTTAAGTCCTTTTCATCTTTGATTATCTTAGGTATTTGATTATCTTAGGAATTATACATCGGTCATTGTCATAGTTCACATTTTAACATGGAAGGAAAGTCATTTTAGGTAAATCTAATAAATGTTAGATTCTATATAATTTTGGCTTATTGTCCCAAGAAAATTGAATCAACCCTTTATTCTGCTTTAAAACCAGGGCTCCATGTCACCTGGCTGCTGACTGAGGTTCCACAGGATGGGTTAGTTCTCCAAAGCCACCCGTGACCAGTCTTCCTGAGGGCCATAGTGCTGGTGCGCTGGGCAGCGCAGCTCTAGTTAGAAGTAGATTTATCTACGTGTGCCTCCCGGGCTTCTGCAGACTGCTAGGGTCATCCCAAGCATAGGAACACTGGGTGTTGCTCTTGAGTAGTTAGAGCGAATGAGCGTTGGCAATCTTGGACACATTTTAGAGATGTTTAAAAGGCTTTGCATCAAAGCCAGGCATGGTGGTGCATGCCTCTAATCCCACCACTTGGGGGGAAGCTAAGACAGGACGATCATAGTTCAATGCCGGCTTGGATTAAATGGCAAGACCCTGCCTCTAAAAACAAAAACAAACAAATGTGTGCATCAAAAGACTGGGGGGATTTTTGTCATTAGGTGTGTCCATTTTTTTGCTCCGATTTGTTATGCTTGGTTATTTTGGCCCTGCAACTTCTTACAAGTCTACCAAAAGGATAAGCATTTTATTTTCTCTCATAGACGTGAAAGAAAGATTAGGGTAAGCGTTGGATGGACTCCTGGGGCAGGGCATAGCCAGATATCATTTGCCTGGTGTTATACTTGTTGGCCTTGTCATTTGAAAGAGGTGACAGTACAGAAAAGGAATAGTAAGTGTGGGTGAATGTGCTTGTAAACGAAACTAAATTGGGTAACATACATGCGCTGAAATACTTCCCACTTACTTTTGAGGTGTGACTCCTGTCCGGGCCACTCCTGCCCTATGAGACTGCCACTTGGCATTCTGCTGCCTGAGACCACAAAGGCACAGAGAAGCAGCGAACTGTCGCTGCTCCTTAATACCACCGGGTTTGGCCATGGACAGGAGGGGAGGGGAGGTGGAGGGTAGGGTTTGCCTGAGCGATAACATGTCATGGAAGGTGTGAAGCTTGTCAGGGTCTGACCTCACCTCTTGGTCTGTCTACTGTTAGTATCCTGCCTGGAAAGTACTTAGAGAAGATTGCTGCACAGATGCATGCCCACAGCATCAATGCCCTCTTGGTCATTGGCGGATTCGAGGTAGGTTATTAACCTGCTTCTTAGTTTTGAGGTGTGAGTAACCACCCATCTTGGCCTACAGGAGCCTAGTAGAAGTCTAGCATGCTCTTCAGGAACTGGGATTTTTAGATTCCCCAGCCCAATTACCCTGGCTAACCCTAATGCGGAAGAACCACAGGGTGGCATAAGGTAGACCCAGTTCCAATCACGGGAATTACTGGGGAAGCTACAGCTTGAATCCTTAGCTGAGATTCTTCAGTGAGTTCTGATTTGTTTCCAGTCTATAGAAATAATTCCATCCCTTGAATTGGAAGTCTGTTGACTTTTAAGAGAAGGTAGTGATATGATTCGCTTTTCTTTTTATATTTTTAAAAATCAGATATTGGTCTGTAGTCCTTAATTATGCCCTCTTTTGTAACTATCAGCTGCACAGCTACCTTTCTATTTACTTTAAAGAGACGTAAGAACCTCAAATTGCGAGACTCTGACCCTTAAGAAATTTTGCCTCACTTCTAAATGACAATGTTCTGTTTTCTCCTTTTGTGCTTAGGAAACTGCTTATCCTTGTCTGTGGTCTTAACGCATCTTTGTGTTGATTTTTTAGTGGTCCCTGGTCTCCCGTTGTGCACCCCATGTGCTGTGGTAGAAGTGGCTCCCTGAGGCTCTCCCATGCTCTCTCCCTCCCAGCCACTCCCCTCCCTGTCCCCCTCTCCCTTCCCGGCCCCACAGTCACACACACTTATCTGACAGGCCTACCTGGGACTCCTAGAGCTGGCAGCTGCCCGGGAGAAACACGAGGAGTTCTGTGTCCCTATGGTTATGGTTCCTGCTACTGTCTCCAACAACGTGCCAGGCTCCGATTTCAGCATCGGGGCAGATACAGCCCTGAACACTATCACAGATGTAAGTGCGTGTGTGCTGGCAAAGCAGGTGCGGCTGACGCTAACCCGAAGCCCTGGTCCCTTTTATCTGCCAGTGCGCTAGAAATAGCCCTCTACCAGCTATCACAAATACCTATGGAATATCTTTTTTTTATTCCCCCATGAAAAATATATTTAAAAAGACCTTTGGGCTCTGAAAAGTCATTGATTTAGCTCCCCAAATTTTTACCATCTTTTCTCCCGTGTGGATGGTGAGATGATCAACACTCATCCAAAGCTTGAGCTCTATCAGATCACACTTTTGTCTGATTTGATAATCATTAAAATTAATTTTTTTTTGTCTTTGGCCAAGCCTAATTGACTTGCAGCCTCTGAAATCTTATTGTAATAAATCCTGGGTCCAAGGTTCTTTTCCTGAAATCAAACTGAATATTTTGTAATTTAATTCATTGCTTTGAACCTACTGTATGCAGTTATTGTATTTTTGGTTATGGACATTTCCATAATCAAAGGGGTATTTTCCCCTTTGCAAACTGACAGTCTTAAATACATCTAACAATATTGATGCTGTTTTAGTTTATTGGCCAAAAGACAATAACAAAACCGAAACATACATTTTAGTTTTATATTTGTGACTCACACTTGCTAATTCATATGAGTGTTTGGAGATCAGTATCTTAGTCATATAATGCATTCCACTCTTTTCATTTGGTCTAAAATTTTTCAGTAACTCCCCCAAGTTATTTTTCATTCATACTCTATAAATGTTTTTCTAAGGTTTTTTTTTTTGTTTTTTTTTTTCCCCCTTCAATACTTAGTACCAAACTTATTTCTAGCACTGGTAAATAAAAGCCTAAAAGCTTTTAAAATAAAATGCCAATGGTAAGTAACGCTTAGTACTGATTTCTTGCTTATCTAAACTTCTTACTCTTTCTTCAGTTTTTTTATTAAAGCGACATGCTCAGAGTCTCCTGGTAGCAAATGGCTGTTTTATTTATGTGCCATCACTAACCTCCTCCTTAGACGCTGCATGTACTTCCTGGTGACTGTTGTTATGCTTTCACTGCTGCTATTGAGTGGTTCTGGCTCTTGATAGATCTTCACTTGTGAATATTAAAGATCAGATTGCTGTCCAGCACTAAATTTCCTCTTTTTTTTTTCCTACCTTTCCTGCCTTAGCTATGGAGCTTGTTTTATTCTCATTGTCGCCTCATTAGGATGGATGTTATGGGGATGGGTGGGGGATTGTTTGCAGTCGTGATTATTGGATGTGCACTTCACTGTCAAGAAGGAAAGGTACTACTTTATAATTCCAAGCTCCTCTGCTATCAAGAACTGTTTTCCCTAAATTTTAAATACATAATACATATATATTGTTGAAAATTTGCAGACCAAATGTAGAAGGGAGGGAGAAATCCCAAATTTATTTGGCCCCCTTCCCTTAGAGAGATTTTATGGTTTTCTAAAATTGAGTCTGTTAATTCTTGACAGTTTCTCAGAGCAAGGTTAACAGTAATATTTGAGAAAGGAAAAGAGCAAATAGGTAGGTTGCCATTCCTGAGGGCTTCAGGCTCGATCAGATGTGGTAAGTGGATGTGTGTGTGTGTGTGTGTGTGTGTTCTTCATTGCCCATTGTGTTTCTGAGGCTCTGGAGAAGCTGGGTCCTCTTGATTCTGCCACCTCAAGGTAGGTGGCCAAAGCCAGGCTAGTCAGGATAACCTGAGTGAGTGCTGCGACCTTGTTGGAACCAGATGAAGGATACAGGGTATCCTGAAGATAATGTGACCAAAAGATAAGCATGGTATCAGTTTCTCCCAAGTTCTTTTTATCACAGGAAAAATAGAACTTGATTTCTTCAGTTTGGAGTTGTGTCTGAACTGGGCTAGGCCGGTCATAAAAATGAATGGGGCTGGCCTGCATCATCTCTAGGAAATGTTGTCATGAGATGAGTCTACATAAAGTCATTCTGGGTCCCTCCTGCTGGTGGATCAAACTAGTCCTCAGGGATTTAGGACTGGAAGGGAGTTGGTGTCTGTTTACAATGCTTACTCTGTACCTTAAAAGCATGTGTCTGAAGCTAGTCACCGTGCTCCTTAGGCTGTCATATCCAGATACTCTGTGTCGACTGGCTTAGAGCTTCCTGCTTGGCCCTGGATAGCACTGAAGTGTACATCCCATGGACATCTCCCATGACCAATGGCTTTCTTTGCTTCAGAGAGTTCAGTGGCTCTCAGCTGTGGGTAGTTTTGCATGTAGGGGACATTTACAATGTTGAGGGTCATATTTGGTTGTCAGAGATAGGAAAGGGGATGTTCCTGGCACCCAGTGGGTAGAGGGTAAAGATTCTGTTCTATAGCCTGCAAGGTACAAGACAGACCTCCACCATAGGGAATTGTCTGGCATAGAGTGTCAATGTATTGAGGTTGGGAGACTGAGCTAGTCTTACTTTATTAAACTTTTACCATATTTGGGTGTTTAGTAGTCTGCACTAATGGTTTTCTCTCTGCCAGCAATAATGCTCAGTCTACTGATGAGCCCCTTGAAATAGTCAGTAGATGAAGGATAGGGGTCAGTGAGTCTTCTGGGCAGAGCAAAATTAATATAACACTTCAGAGAAAATATTTAGCAAAGTTTCGTGATGTAGCTTGTGGGGCTTTTCAAGTGGACTCTTTGTTCTAATCAAAAACCCAACCAGAGCAAGTTGAGTGTGAGCTACCAGTGAAGGTCATAAAGGTAGCAGTGACCACTGATAACCCTGAATTATTATCACTAAGAAACTAAAAACTGTCATTATGTCCCTTTAACTCCATCCTACTGCTTTTCTCAGTATGGATAGCTCAAAATGTCCATGGTAACTTAATGGTGTTTTAACATGTCTACACCTGGACCCAAGACAAGGTAAGGTCACCTGCTCCCTGAAGGACCTAAAGACAAGACCTTGCTGTATCCTCAGAGTTTGCTACTTTCCTGGGCAGATTGCTATGTGAAGTTTCCCTCTCATTTGTTTGGAGATTGAAGGAAGCAAAAGAGGAATATTGGGGAACAGAAGGTAGAAAGTTCTTGCAGCACTACAACTGTCACCAGAGATTAAGAGTGGAGTTAAGGCACTAACCCCTCCTCTCCACACCCACCTGCCCCCCTCCTCCATCCCAGGCCCCACCCAGCCTGGGTGGCATACTCGTCTTCCAGGCTTGTCACCAGTGCACAGCCATTTTCCATAGAGCTGTCCGTGATAAATCCTGAGCTAAAGCATTCTTCAATACCTGAGTGAAGCACTTTCCAAACAGTGCTGAGGAGCCCAGCAAATGGCGTGGGCACTGGTCAGTGGGTGTGTCCAGACACATCTTTCATAGTCCCGCCACAGGGTGGCTTTGGAATGAATCCCTGTGACAGTGATCACAACTGGAACTCCAAAGGCAGAGCCGGACGGACAGCAGCCAAGGGGCCATGTGCTGACCCTGGGTGGATTGGGGGGCTGGCTGTGGTGGGAACAGGGACACTCTGTTCACATTGCTCCTTACCCTATCATCTCCCGTGCAGACTGTCCTGTCTGACCAACTATTTCAATGACTGACTAAGCACAGGTCCACCACGCACTGTCCTGAATCCTCAGGCCACATGGGTTCCAGAACTCAGAATGGTTTAAATTGCAGAAAGGTGATGAGGAGCACACACCATTTATTGTGTCACCTTCCTGGCGAAGTGTGAGTCCCAGTGTTACTATTTACAGCAGGCTGTACTGATTCTCACATAAAGAGAGATAAGATTATATGTGGGTCAACTTTGCCACTAAATGGTTCACAGAAGCACCTTGCTCCACTGGGACCTGCTTGGATTTAGGCACTGTGGGTGAAGTGGGCCTGTATCCTACCACTAACCGAGTTAATACCCTGGGGCGGAGACTTAAGTACCTCTCTCCATGGACTAAAGAATAGCTCAGCTTTTTTGACATCAGAGCCAAACAATTTAAACTGGAGTTCCAAAGCAATTGATCAGGTTCTTACTGATCTATCCTGCTTAATCCAAGCACTGCCGAGGGCCCTAATGGAAAGCAAAAAGACACACTGAAGCCAGGGGTCCCCCATTAACGGGTCTGCCTGTAGGTAACGTAATTGCATGTCTTCTTCTTTGTCTGCCTGTGGTGCCTGCCTGCCTGCAAATGATCCTGCTCTGCATTGGTGATCCCAGTCATTTGATGTCAGTTTACAGCCATGTGCTCTCCCTGCCCTGCACCTGCAGACATTACAGGCTGGGCATTGCACTTAAACTTCCCCACCTAATTCCTCCTACTCTGAGATGCCAAGGACCTAGCATCTCAGTTGTTCCTTTTAATGACTAACACACTGATGCCGCCTCTGTCCCCTCTGCCTGATGCTTGCTTTGCTGCCTGCTTTGCACTGCCTCGGACTGCTGCTTGTGGCCTCCTTCTGTGGGACAAAGACATATGGGATGAGGTCGAAGGCTGCATCACGCATGTCGCCATGCATTGTGCAGGCACGTCATGCACCTGCTCAGATACCAATCCAGACCTCCTTTTGGCTCTGTTGACCTGCATGAAATAGCTTCCCACAGGCAACTCAGTTCCTTCCCTGTCATGTCCCAGAGCCACAGACTATGCCCAGTGACTGGCAGGTGATTTGCTTGTGTCCCACTAACTGCCGTGGCCCCACTGCTTCAGGCGTACCTGGCCGTGATCATGATGGCAGATGCTCGAGGCATCCACGAGGAGTTTTGCATCCCTATGTGCGTCTTGCCTGCCACTCTTAGCAACAATGTCCCAGGCACAGAAATAAGTATTGGTTCTGACACTGCTGTAAATGTGGTTGTTGAGGTAAGAGAACCATTTCTACTCCCGTGTTGTTCTGTTTGTTTTACAATTGACCTGCCTGTGTTTAGGACATACACTCAGTTCGGGGTCTTGGTCCTCCACCTGTTCTACCCCAAATAGAAAGTGAAATGGGAAACCTGTTCAATCTTTAGAATGAATGAGCCATACGTACTGTTTTTCCTATTAACTTGACTTTTTTTTATCACACTTCCTACAACTGGATAATGTTTCCTAGTTTTTTTCTTGGGGAGAGCCTGTCTTTATTGGCTAAAAATAAAATGTTGTCTACAGATGTTTGCCCTAACAGTTCTGTACCATCTGAACAAGGTGAGCTGTGAATATTGTTTCTGGTAAGGCCTGCTGCTTCTACCCAAAGATGAATAGCTTAGAGGTGTGATGTTAGAGGAGAGTCCATAGAGCAAGGGTCAGGAGCGAGCAGAAAGGGAACCCAGTAAGTATGAAAGCTGCAAAGGAAGCAGCACCAATCAATCCACGCAGAGAGCCCCAGGCCTCGGCTTGGAGTCACATCCTTTCTGACAAGACAAGAGGCATTCTAAGAGCCATGGTCAGTCTCTCCCAGGAGGGTAGCTTTACCAACCACATCCTGTGGGCAAGACTGTCCAGGACATGGTGCTGGGATCTGCACAGGAGTACATGGAACATGCTGGAGTCTCACGGGCTCTCTGTGCCGACCATCTGCACTGGACTCGGGCTCTGGTAGCTTGAAGGGCCTTTGCTGCAGGGAGTGGTCCTCAGCCAACAGGAAAAGAGATGGTGGTCAAGCACACGAGGGTGACTTCTCACCATACCCAGGGCCACCCCAAGGAGAGCACCCTTTGGCCTCTTCACACTCAGGTCTGCGGTGTTCCAGAGTTTGCAATAAAAAATTGTAATTCTGTTGGAGCGATTCCTTAGTTCAAGTAGGCATACAGCCTCAGAAAACAGCAGTTCTGTTCCAAGTTCTTTCTTCTGAGTTGAATTGTAAGGCAGGAAAAGGAGAGCATAGTTTTCCCCATGTAGGCTAGACACCCTAAATATCCATTAGAATCTTAGCATGTGAGCTGAACTGATGCACACATCCTAGGTATCTCCTTCATACCCTTGTGATGGCCTCATAGAGTCTGGCCCAGCTTTAACCAAAGTAGAGGATCTCTAGGGCCCCGTCTAGGCCCTGGAGCTCTATTCCTTTGTATGTTAAGTAAATCATGGGCTAAACCATAAAATAACCCCAGTCAATGAATGCTGTTAGGGCCTGGCCCATTCATGGGCTTTCCTGTCCTTTAACACCTTAAGGGCAAAAGTTAATCATCCTAGAAGCTCTGACAGGGAAATGAGCTTCACTCAGCTCCCTGCAAATAGACCATGAGACAGAAGCCTCCTGCCCACTGGCCAGCCCCTGCTGTATCTGGTTCCGAGAGTCCCACTCAGTCAACCAGTTGGATTGGGCAGATTCACCTCCTTGCTTGTAAGCTGGACAACATTCAAGTTCTTTGATACTTTTTCTGACTTAGCTCTGTAGTAAACTCTACCTTCTGGGTCTCACCTTTCAGTATTAGTTCTGGAAAGCCAGTGTAGCAAAGTGGTAGTGATACTGGAACTGTAGCTTGGAGCTTTTCCTCCACTGTGACTCTTCTCAGAGGCTTTGCCAAGAATCAGTGTGTCCCATTGGAGGGCACTGACACTTGATGCACGGTGAAAATGGCTGTGGTGGGGGCTGGTCCAGCTCATGGCAGTTTTTCCCATGCTGCACAGGGGCGATGTTCCCATGTGATTCTTCCTCCCACCCAGCAGTCAGGGAAGCCTCTCTGCGTGCCACTAGCACATTTGTGCTGGCTTTTCCCTCATCAGTACTACTTTTAGTAATTGACCAAGACATGGTTAGAGTAGCTTACTATTTTTAGAAGAAACTAATTCGAGCCTTCACACACCATCTAGGTAATGAGAGAGTATTTAGGAATGATATATGTAAGCTCTAGACAAAGGCAGACTATCCCACCCCAGCTGTAATTATTTTTACAGTGAGCAGTATACAGAAAATCTGGGCATTGCTCAGTTGTCAGGTTTAGCTAGTGTAGTTTTTTGTTTGTTTGTTTGTTTGTTTTCTTGCTGTTTGGCAACATTGGGGATTGAACTCAGGGCCTTGTGTTTGCTAGGCAAGTGCTGCCTCAAGTGTGGCTACCACTTGAGCTACAAAGCTGGTCCTTTTGCTTTTAGTTTTGTACTTCAGATAGGGTCTCACGCTTTTGCCCAGGCTGGCCTGGAATTATGATGCTCCTATTTCTGCCTTCCAAGTAACTGGGATTACAGAGGTGTACCATAGTGCCCAGCCAGCACTATGACAGCTTGTCTGGATCAGAATTTAAAGACACATGTGCAAGTTGGCCTCATGATAGAGCTGCTTTGCCAACAGTATTCTTTTACCAGTACGATTTATCATTACTAGTATTTCTTTACCAGTATTGATAGCATTGTTCTTTGAATTAGTGCTAATGATTTTCCTTAGAATAGGCAGGTGGAGATTAAACTGGGGTCCTGGCATCCACCTGCCTGCCCCATGACAGCCGTGCCTGCTCTGCAGCCCTGTTTCTTTCCATCTCTCAGAATGCCTCTAAGACAAAGACCATACAATGAGACTTTAAATCTTTCAATGCCATGTAAAAAATGCATCTACAAACACAACACTGATCCTTTTTAATACTTCACATCTGGGCTTCTAAAGAAGGCAGAGCTACATAGGTTGCTTTAGTGTAGCTTAAGCACATAGTGGATCTTAAATAAACTTGTTATTTTGGGAGGGTAAGAGTCTCTCAAAGAAATTAGAATTCTAGGTTGGAATGATTTTAATTGAACCTATGAGTGTTAATCAAAGTGTTCTTTTAAACTTATCCAAAGCACTCAAGTGAGAATTTCCAACTTGCTATTTTATTTTGGTGGGCATTGTTGTGGCTTGTCCATTGCCTGTTACTAGAGGTAGTCAAGGAACAGGGTCTTGAGTCCCGGTACAGGTGCTGGGAATAAGGCCACTTTGGTCACAGACCAATGGCAAGAACAGAAGCTGCTGGGGGCAGTAAAGGAGCCAGGTCTTGTGTTCTGGCACAGGTACTAGGAAACAAGATGTTTCTCTTGGATGGCCTATCTCTGTGTGAGTCACACAACTTTAAGGTCAAGCAGAGTTAAGATGGCCTAAGGGATGTCAAGTTGAGACCTAATCATGGCATTCGGTGCCCACCTGGATAATCCAAGATAATACCCCTGTCTCAGCATCTTTAGTCACCACATAAGGGAACAATCACAGGATCCAAGGATTGGGATCAAGATACCTTTGGGGGCTTTCTTCCAGCCCACCACCATGCCTGGAGAGCAGTATATATGAAGGCCTCAGGAGGCTTAATGTAAGCTTGTCTCCAGACCAAGCCAGCAGCTGGAGTCTAGAGTGGTACCTGGTACCAGGAGTTGGCAGGTGGGGGATTCTATCTAAAGATTTTGACATGTACTACAAGTAGCTATAATGCTTTCAAACAAGGCAAGAATGTGATCAGCTTTGCTTCTGATAGATGAGACCTCAGTTTTGTATGAACTGGTTGAATGGTAAGAACCGGGCGAGGTTTTTCAGGGTGCTGAGGAAATGAATAGCTTCTCAGCTGGTGCCACGGATGTGAGGTGGCAGGTGGACTTTTGTGTTGCTCACCATCCTGGACCTGGGTCCTCATGGAGGGTGGACAGCAAGACATTTCATTTTGTGATGTGTTATCTGTGTGTCTGGAAGATTGCTCTGGATGCCTTTGTCTAAGAAGCTACTTCTGTCCTTGAAAGAGGTACCCTAGCATGACAAAATACCCATTGAGAAACTAAGATGACCAAAACCCTAATGTCGCAGGAGCTTTTCCCAAGAAAATAGCACTGATTGCCATTAAGGAAGCTGGAGAGTTGACCCTCCCATATTTTCTAAGTTCACTAAGTATTGACCTCTGACAGCTCTTTGAATGATGACAGGGCACAAAGCAGAGAGAGCTGGCTTTCTCACCACCTCCCAAGGTTCCCCGGAGAGGGGTAGTGGCCAGGTCTGGCCCCACTGTGGGTAATCGCAGCTATCACAGGGCAGTTTTAATGTGGAGGCAGTTTCCTGGCAGCTGTGCACACCGCTCCTGTGTCCAGTGCTCTGACTATGCACTCAGGCTTGGTGGAGGGACTCACACAGCTCTTGGGGGAAGCAGGCTGTGCGCATCCAGCACTGGCCAGGGCATAGTGGAATGATTATCTCCTTATCCGTGACCAGACGTGTGACCGAATCAAACAGTCGGCCAGCGGGACTAAGCGTCGTGTGTTCATCATCGAGACCATGGGAGGCTACTGTGGCTACCTGGCCAATATGGGGGGACTCGCGGCTGGAGCCGATGCTGCCTACATTTACGAGGAGCCGTTTGATATCAGAGACCTGCAGGTCAGTAAATAAGGCTGGCCCTGTGTGAGCGCTGCTTGCTTTGGAGTTCAGCAGTGCTGAATGAATAATCATAGTTATACCTGGTTTGCTGAGGGGATGAAAGTGGTATTGTAAAACACACTGCACTCGCCAGTCAGCATCACATTGTTTGAAGGTGACTGAGTTAGTAGGGTTGAGGGTCTCCTTTATTCTTCTGTATGAAAACATAGGCTTATATGATTTTTGTCTGTGAGTAAAAGATTGTATCTATTAAGGTATGTTTTTTCTTATGTATGTCATAAGCCATTTAAACATGATAGTTACTTGTTTAATGGGCTCTGATAATTTGAGCAGCTTCCCTTTGAAATGTGACCAGAGCCCCAGACTTGTGTTGTTCTTTTGGATGTGACCATGGGAAGATTTGTGGGGTTGGAAGGAAATGTCGTTGCTGGAGCACAGTAGCAACCCTAAGAGAAATAGCTGCTGTTCATTAGTTAGAGAGGACTAAGTGCCCACTGAGGTGGCTGGAGCTGCACAGCATGGTGGCTTGTCACCGCCTGAGAGTCTATGTAAATAAAGTCAGGCAACAGATAGCTATTTTCTTGTGAAAGCTCTAAGACAGAAAGTATTATCATGAAAATCAATAAGGGACTATAAAACATGTGTAAGCATTAGGTAAATACATGGAATTAAATAAACATTTGAATGGGAAAATGGATTTTGGAAGACATTTCTCATAGCGGTTGTGAATTCTGTTCGTTAAATAAGCATACTCAACAGTGTGGCCCCAACCCATCACCCAGATCATCGCTGTCTGATTTACTGCTGTTATCATTGCGTTTACCATGACCTGATAGATTCTCACTTGTCTATGGTAGTCTTCCCCAAAATACAAGGTATAAAACTGACTGCCTTTCCTTACTTACTGCTGCATCTGGCACTCACAGCCTAACAGTAGCGGGCACACAGTAGGTGCCTTAAAATATCTGATTGAGTAACAAAACACTTTTTTCTAGTCCAACGTGGAGCACCTGACAGAGAAAATGAAAACCACCATCCAGAGGGGCCTTGTCCTCAGGTAATGGAAATATATTTCTAACCCTTCATTTTAGACTTACCCTCTTAGAATCCATCTTATGATCGAAAACCTAAGCAGCTTCTTTCCTTTGCCACTGAGTCAGTCCCATTCAGAATGCTTAAGAAACGTAAAAGTACAATAATGGTTTGTTAAATACATGCCTGCATTTACATATTTATTTTTGCTTTTTTTTTTCCCCCCAAGATATCTTCTACTTCTCTATTTAAGCCCCTTTTTTATGAGGAAACAGAAAATGAATAGTCGGGATAGGGATGGAGGGCTAAGAAGGCTGACCTGATAGGTGACCTTACACCCTGGGCCTTCAGCAGGCCAGTGGGGGTAGAACACTCACCAAGAATGTTCTGCTCCCAGTTGCTTGGGGAATAAACTTGGCTGCTCTGCATTTGTTTCAGAAATGAAAGCTGCAGTGAAAATTATACCACTGACTTCATTTACCAGCTGTACTCCGAAGAAGGCAAAGGAGTGTTTGACTGCAGGAAAAATGTGCTGGGTCACATGCAGCAGGTGAGGCTGGAGCCCGCAGAGTATCTGTGGTGCCTATGATCTCTTTGAGAGCGGTGTCTTTTGGGGGAAAATAAATATCATTAAAAAACAACATCCAAATACCATCAGTTTTAGGATTATGTTTAAATTGCAATTCTTGGGCATATAGGGATTTTAAGGAAAGCGATCAACATTCATGTAAATGATGACACTGGTTTATTGGAAATACCTATTCAGATACCTTGCTGAATTAAAGATTGGGGTTTCATAAGATTTAAAACGGAGTATCAGATCCATATTTACTTGAGATTTATACAAAATCAGACTGGGAAAGAATTGCAAGATTTGCTCTCTTTCTTTTTATGATGTGTAAATTTCCCCAAGTGACACAACTGGAGCTCGAGTTGGGAAAAAGCCAGGCCTCCTTGTTTGCAGGTGTGTGCTCTTCTCAGCATCACCTCCTACACTTTGTACTTTAGGGAGCTTTAAACGAGGGCCCAACAATTTATCTCAGAGTTCATGAGTCCCCAGAAATCCTATGATGAAATAGTAGAAGATGTAAGTGTATTTTCCTGAGTCCACAAAGTTTATCACATTCTTAAAGGGAATTGTGACCCTTCTCTTCCCCAAAACAACTTTAAGAAATCCTGATGTAAAACTCTAAAATAATGAAGATCTTTAGTTTAATTAACTTCTCCAGTGAATTAAAATCCTTATACTACAGGGAGGAAAAGCACGGAAGCTGCCTAACAGACTGAGTACAAGCTCTAGGAATCACACACTTTGCTCTTGTTTTTTTTGTCCCAGCTATATATACAAGGTAGAAATAGGCAAAAACAAACCATATTTGCATCTCTTAAACACATGTGAAGTCTATTAAATTGCAGAATTTTTCATGTTTTTTTAAAAACGGGAAAGTAATGGTGTACAACTACTATTCATGTAACTTCACCAACAACAGGGTGGAGCGCCTTCTCCATTTGATAGAAACTTTGGAACCAAAATCTCTGCCAGAGCGATGGAGTGGATCACCATGAAACTAAAGGAGTCCCAGGGCAAAGGTATGAGGTCACAGGAGGGGAGGATGGCACAGCTGAGTTGTGAGCTGCCACCTGAAGGAAGTACTGTAATATGAAATAGGGTGTTGTCTCCTTCTTTTCTTAAATCATTGAGCTGCCAGTGATAAGACTGTTTTACTCCTGCTCATCTGAGTATTGTTTTTTTATGACTTTCAAAGTTATAATTAATTTAATTAAAGAAATAAAATGTTTTATTCCTGCTTTTAGGGATGGGTAGCGTTCAGATAATTTAGTAGCACTCTTTATTGATTAGCCAGAAAATTGCTGGGCATATGTTGGACTCTGTTACCAAGACTTAAAATGTGATTTTTTATTTGTTTTACTTCCTTGGCAGCATAAAACACTTGAACTGGCTTTTAGTTAAGTTATTTAAGTTTAACTCATTTACTCATATACAACTCTTTTATTAGAGGGGGAAAATACCCACAACGAATGACAGAGGTATCTTAACTATTTTCTGCCTTCAAAACCCAAACGTATCCTTTTTCAGTTTTATACCCTGCCTGCCCCACAACGAATGACAGAGGTATCTTAACTGTTTTCTGCCTTCAAAACCCAAACGCATCCTTTTTCAGTTTTATACCCTGCCTGCCAGGAGTAACCTCAGAATTTTGAAATAACCATTCCCCTGATCTTAGAATTGTACTACCTTATGAGTAAGCCTTCCCAGACAGTGATGGGACTTTAGCTTGACTTCATATGAAGGGAGGGATGTGGCTTGCTTCTGTGACTGCCTCTTTCCAGTGGCCTCAGGTTGAGTGCCCCATGTTGAGGTCCATCTATGATTTTAATGCTTCACTGCGCGAGGAGGCCAGCGCCACTCTGCTGACCATGGCAACAGAGTGTGCCCATGTTTGCTGACTCACAGTGCTGAGGGGCCTGGGTCCCTGGGACCTGACCTGTAGTATGCCAGGCTTTGTTGGAGTAGTTCTTCAACCAGTTTGACCAACTGCATGCTCAACTGCAGGCATGCAAGTCCCTGTTACTCCTACCTGGCTCGTACTTGATACCCTGACTATTTTAATGTTGCCTATTTGGCGTGGATGAAATTCATTGTGACTGAAAGAGGCTGAACCCCAAAGGAGGGAAGTTGTAGGTTCTCATGTGTCGGCATAGTGTTCTCTTTTCTCTCAGCTGTCTCAGAATTTTGCCATTGGTTGGTTATGTTTATGTCATTGCATAGAATTAATTTTTTTTATATTTGCATTTTACATTTTGTGAGTCTTATCAATCACACATTGTAAATATTTTCTCCCATCTTGTGGCAAACTGCCGTTTTTCTAGGTTCTTTCAATGAAGTCTTCCTAATTTTAATGTAGCCAACTCACCAACCTCTTCCTTTATGGTTTGACTTTTTAAATACTATTTTATTTTTAGTGCTGGTGTCTCACACCTGTAATCCTAGTTACGTGGGAGGCTGAGACTAGAGGATCATGGTTCAAGGCCAGCCCAGGCAAATAGTTCACAAGACCCCATGTCCAAAATGACCAGAACAAAATATGTGATTGTAAATGGCATTCAATTTTTTATTGCTGATATATAGAAATATGAAAAAAATTGATTTTTTTGCAATCAGCAACTCTTCTACTCTGAATCATAGTAATTATAATTCATATTTACATATACATTCATATTATATTTATAGCCTTTTAATTTTTGAAACTTATTTTGAGGCAGGATTGCATGTTATCAAAAAAAATAATTAATAGAAAAAATGAATAAATGAAACAGTGAAAGAAGCAGTTATTGACAACTATTATAACAACAAGTGGGCATAAGAAAAACTTACATTGAATCTCACACATGAAAAAGAATTATTAAATTCTAACTGACAGTATGTTTTGGTGATAATGGAGTTTGAAATAAGGGCACACTAACACTTCTCATTAGGATGATTGCTCTATCAAATTGAGAAAATAGGAATTTATAAATTACAAATGAAGTATTTTAATGTTACAAATAATAACTGAAATTTTATAAGGAAAATTCTTAACAATTAAATTAAGTATTAAAACCTCTGGAGTATGAATACGCTAAACCATATTATAACATGGGACTGATGGAACTCTATAGTATCCACTTAAAATATAGATAAATGGATATATTGTGAAATAATTTATGTTTAATAATCCAAATAGCGTTTAAATTGGTAAATAATAAAGATGTGTTTTTAGCGGAAAATACTATATAAAAATTAAAATTCCTGGCATCTATAAAATCAGATGACTTAAATCAAGGTATAAATGATTTTAGCACCCTATAAAAAAATCTATACATCCACCTTTTCATGATATAACACAATCGCATGATCATACAATACGGGTCTAAACCAATGATCTTTTACAGTATTTTTAAGAAAAATGAATTTGGCATTTGTCATTTTATGATACATTTTT